AATTGCAACCAAAGAAAACCAAAAACCAAACAAAAACAGAATTAAGAGACAAAAATAAAATATATAAGCTTTGTTTTTCAACATAAGCTCCAACAAGTTCATTACACTCTTGTAAGCAAAGATATCATCCAGTCCATCTCTAAAGAGGTGAGAGTCCTGGGAACTTAACCATGTCAATTCAGTCCTTTCTGCATTATTTACTGAAGAAAAATGGGTGCCCCTTTTTAGATTTTTTTTAAGATTGGTGGGGAAAAAGTCAGAAGCAGCCAAATCAGAACTGTAAGATAGATGCCTAATGATTGCCCACTGAAATTCTCTGCTTGGAGGACTTTCAAGTGAAACTAAGGGATTTTCTGCTAAAAGTTTGACTAATTTTCTTCAAACACTCTCATAATAAGCAGATATTATAATTCTTTAGCCCTCCAAAATCAACAAGCAAAATACCTTGAATATTCCAAAAAACTGTTACCTTAACCTTTTTGACTGGTCTATTTTTTTGGTTTTTTTTTTGAGACAGAGTCTCACTTTATCACCCTCAGTAGAGTGCCGTAGCGTCACAGCTCACCACAACCTCAAACTCTTGGGCTTAAGCAATTCTCTTGCCTCAGCCTCCCAAGTAGCTGGGACTATAGGCGCCCACCACAATGCCTGGCTATACTTTTGTTTCTTTTTTCTTTTTTTGCTGTCTGGAGGCAGCAAGTTCTTTTTTATTTTATTTTATTTTTTTTTAGAGACAGTCTCACTTTATCGCCCTCAGTAGAGTGCCATTGTGTCGCAGCTTACAGCAACCTCCAACTCCTGGGCTTAGGCGATTCTCTTGCCTCAGCCTCTGGAGTAGTTTGGACTACAGGCACCCACCACAACGCCTGGCTATTTTGTAGTTGTTGTTGCAGTTTGGCTGGGGCTGGGTTTGAACCCTCCACCCTCGGTATATGGGAATGGTGTCTTACCCACTGAGCCACAGGTGCCACCCATGCCTGACTATTTTTTAGAGATGAGGTATTGCTCTGGCTCAGGCTGCTCTTGAACCCATAAGCTCAGGCAATCCACCTGCTTCGGCCTCCCAAGTGCTGGCATGAGCCTGGATGACTGGTCTATTTGTGCTTTGGCTGAACCTGGTCTACCTCTTGGTGGCCACTGCTTTGTCTTCAGGATTATACTGGTAAAGCCACATTTCATCTTCTGTTACAGTTCTTCAAAGAAATACTTCATCAGGCTCTTGATATTAATTTTTTTTTTTTTGAGACAGGGCCTCAAGCTATCCCCCTGGGTAGAGTGCTGTGGCATCACAGCTCACAGCAATCTCCAACTCCTGGGCTCAAGCAAGTCTCCCGCCTCAGCCTCCCAAGTAGCTGGGACCACAGGCGCCCACCACAATGCCCGGCTATTTTTTGGTTGCAGCCCTCATTGTTGTTTGGCGGGCCCGGGCTGGATTCAAACTCGCCACCTTAGGTGTACGTGGCTGGTGCCTTAGCCACTTGAGCCACAGGCGCCAAGCCTTGATATCAATTTTTTTAAATTTCCACTGAAGATTGACTGAGCATAGTGGCTCATGCCTGTAATCTCAGCACTTTCCAAGGCTAACGCAAGAGGATCACTTGAGCCCAGGAGTTTGAGTCCAGCCTGGGCAACATAGTGAGACCCCATCTCTACAAAACATTTAACAGCCAGGCATGATGACATGTAGCCCCAGCTACTCAGGAAATTGAGGGTAAAGGATTGCATAAGCCCAGGAGCTGGAAGATGCAATGAGCCATGATGATGCTACTGAACTCCAGCCTGGGCCACAGAACAAGATTCTGTCTCTTAAAATAATTAAAAATAAATAAATAAATAAAATTTTTATTGCAAGCTCTGCTGTTGTCTACAGCTGATCTGGGAGCAACAGTTTAGGCACTCATCAAGTGGAAAGTTTGTTCCACATTACTTTTTCACCAAGAATTACATAAACAGAAACAACTGATGAGCAGTCACGTGAGATGCAAATCTCCACACTCCAGATCCATTCTGAAAGACCTAACCACATCCTCCTTCTCCAATTCTTCTTGTCACAGTCTTCTGACTCTCGTCTTTTCAAGTCACTGGCCATCCAGCCGAGCTCTGAGCCTGTGAGCAGCCACCTGTGACATGGAATAGGTTTGCACTCTGGATGTCTCTTAATCCAAAGTGGTCGACCAAAAGCAGCACTCACCACAATGCTCACTGGGAGAGTTTTCCTGCACCACTGTCCTTTGGGGCCACCACTGGGTGAGGCTGTGATGCTGTAGCCATCTGCTTTGGGTTGATGACATCCTATCACACAGAAGGCTATTCAATTTCAAACTCAGTTTTCTTACCAAAAAAAAAGACTCAGAGTGAAATAGAAGCTAGACTTTTAACACACTTTTAGGAAACGACACTGGTCCCAAATCTCACCTGAACTTCAAAATTGCTACGGACTGAGTGCATGCCTTCTTTAACATTTTTTGAATGGGGGGGGGGTGTCTATTGCAGCTACTCTGTGTCTGTCTCATTACTAATATGACTGGGGTGCTGGTGGCAGGTAACTTGCTTATAATGTTCAGATTAAAAGAACCCTACCCCTGAGGAACTTTACCTGCACCTGTTACTGATTTAGAGGATGAGTTCCTGGACTCAAGCCTGAGCCTAGGCTGCCTGGAGGATGACTTCTGTATGTATGAGGATATAGGTAATTTGTAGACAGCGATCCCCAAAATTGTCAACTTGACATTCCTTCTTCAGGACTGTGGGAAGTCATGTCCTATTACACCTAGTGCCTAGACACTTAGCCCTTCTTTCCTAAAACTATCCTACTTAATGTCCTATACAAGAGGTGGTTCTTCATGTTTCCCTGGATTACTGTCCAATGCATTCTTTTGCTAAAGTGTAGCCAGAGAGCGGTTTTTGTTGCATAAAAGCAAATACAGCCAGGAACTTTAAATCCTGTTTGAAGTCCCCTAGAAAGTCCATTCAGTTCTAATTGGGTTTTTACCCTAGTGAACTAATTAGGTTCCATTATCCCTGTGTTCCCTACCAATCTTAACATCCTAGCTTCTGCAAAGATGTCTCTACCCAAACTGGCTAGGGGAGTAAGAGAGGTGTGGACCCAGCTACACATGAGAATCCCTAGAAGCACTCTTCCAACAACATGGATAGCTTCAGCCACCAACTGAACCAGAGCCTCTGAGCCCTGGGCTTGGCCAGTGGTGTACTACCAGGTTGAAAGCTGGGTCCTGACACTGATCATCAAAGGCAGAGCATCACACACTTGCTCTATCACACCCCAAACTTTAATGATAAAGATCTACAATGTTTTTTTGTATGAAAGGTCTTTATTGGTGGGGGAGGAAGGTTGCAGAGCAGCACTAAGGAGGAGAGAAAAAGAGAAGAAAAAAGGGGAGAGAAAAGGAGGAGAGCAAAGAGGCGAGAGGAGAGGAGAGAGGAGAGTGAGTGGAGGAGGAGAAAAGAGCTACAAACATCATTTTACTCATTACTCCTGCACCTTAGGAGTCCCTTCTATAGGCTTGTTTGGGAGCAATAACAAGACACTTTTAATAGCTATAATAAAGCAAAAATGCATTAAGTACTTTGCATAGGAGTTATTTTACAGGAATAGGGACTAGTCATGACCCTGTTTAAACAAATTTATCAAAATGTCTCTTTTTAAGTAGGACTATCTGCACACCATTCTTCTTGGCCATAGTCATTGGCTCTCAGCTAATCAGATCTGAACAAATTGTGCTAAACAGAAAATCTCAGCCTTAGATTTCTATCCAAGTTGCAAAAACACTCTTCAAGAAAAGAAAATTAAAATAAAATGTATGAGAGCTGTCACTGGGGCACTCTTCTCTGGCCCCACGCAAGGTCCTTCCTGTGGGTCTGAACTCAGTGCTCTACCTTGCAGGGTGTGCAGCTTGAGCTTGCCCTGGACCTCACATCACTCACTTGGCTGCCTGAGTCTGGTCTTTGCTGGATCTTGCTATTTTAAAGAAAACGTGTACATCTTCACATACTGTGCACACAGACTGGGCTGAATTCCATGTACCAATCCTGATCCTTGATCCTGCTCTTTCTCCCCCGTCCCCATTACCACTTACTGAATGAGCACCTACTATGTTCTGGGCAGGGTAACAGGTTTTTTATAAGCAGTACTATATCCATAACCCTACAAGACAGATATTAGTCCCACTTTACAGCTGAAAAAGATTAAGTACCTCTTCCCCAAAAGGCTCCAGATCAAAAATGTTTTGGATTTTTTTCATATTTCAAAATATCTGCATTATACTCTGAAATCCAACATGCTACAATGAGCATGTCTTTTGAACATCACGTCAGTGATCAGATTCAGATTTTGGAGCATTTTGAATTTCAGATTTTTGGATTAAGGATATTCAATCTGTACTACTGGTCCTATAGCATGTGGCAGGGTGTCATGTGAACCACACAGAAGTGGGAAGTGGTGACTGAGTCACGTCACTTCTAGAAGAAACTTTATAGAAAAAAGAATCAACGTCAGGCACCGTCTGTGTCAGAGGCACCTTCTATGTCGCGATGCTTACGATATTTTCATTTAATGTGAATGTATTTGCATTTGAAGTGTCACTATGGGCGGCTGGCGATATGAACCCCCTGAGCCAGCTAAAACAATGACCACTGCAACAAAAAATAGCCGAGCATTGTGAAAGGCACCTGTAGTCCCAGCTACTTGGGAGGCTGAGGCAAGAGAATCGCTTAATCCCAAGAGTTTGAGGCTGTGAGCTGGGATGCCACAGCACTCTACCCAAGGTGACGGCTTGAGACTGTCTCAAAAAAAAAAGGAAAGTATCACTATGAGGTCTTTGAAGAGCAAAGTGCCAAGAGCTAAAAATGAAGCTATTCCAAAGTTTATATGAACAAAACCCACAAAGAAGTTGTAAAAATATTTTATTTAAATGGTACAGAAAAAATTATGTACACAGAAAAATGATTAAAAGTTCATGTTAAAAAATACTAAACACTCGGTAATTTACATGATAATAAAATCTAAAGTGATGAGAAAACAAACTAATTTGGTCCTCTCACCCAACAAAACTATTATAAAAATGAGATTATTTTCAATACTTATTGAAGCGGCACATGACAGCATAATTCCTTTATACACATTCAGTCATGCCATACAATGGACAGTTCTCCCTGTATGGAAGAGGGAACAATCTATTTAGCATAGTGGGAGTGCATTAGGCACCTATAATGAAACCACCACTTTCTCCAGAGTCAAACTGATTACATTGAAAAATAGTCATTTCTACATAACACAGACTTCTGAAAAATTCAATATTCATTTGAGTTTAAGAATATCCAAATGAAATATTTATTCTGACATCAACAGATCCACAAAGTCACAATTCTTCCCAGAAAATGACTCTCTTCCTAGATTCCAAAACGCACTGTAGCTTTTCCATTATCTGAAGTTGGATGTTTGATCTTTCACTTTAAATTCACACGTCCAGCTGGGCACACTGGCCCACACCTGAAGTCCCAGCTACTTGGGAGGTTGACAAAGGAGTTCAAGGCCAGACTGGGCAACACGGCAAGACTACCATCTCTTAAAAAAAAAACAAACATAAAAACTAACATGTCTTTAAAAATCTGAAAGAAAAAGTAGCATTTATGTCTCAAGTAAAACATTCTTCTTAAGCTACTAAATTTAAGAAGCACAGTTCAATCTATCTGTGACTATCTGGCTCTCTACTGCCAATTATAAATTCACGTCAGCAATAGGTCGAAAGCTCTCAAGCATCTGTAAAAACTCAAAACTGAACAGCCATAAAACACTTAACACCATTAGAAGGGGAGGGGTAGGTGACAGGGTGGGAGGAGGAAATGTTCGGTCATGTGTGGTCACAGAGACACAGGCTCAGAGGGACAGAGGGCCACTGTGTCAGCTCCAGGGGTCCCCAGACACACACAGTGCCTGGAGGGAGCTGCAGGCATCGGCACGGACACAGAGTGCTAAAGATGCTTTTCAGCCTGGCAACAAGGAGATTACCTTCATTTCTTCCTTACACAGTTACAGTTACAGTTAACTACAGTTACAGTTACAGTGACTTTCCTATAAAATCTCACAGGGAATATATGTTGTTTGTTAGCTGAAAAGTCAGTTTTCATTGGTTTCCTGATAATTTAGTGTATTAACTTTTACTTCTCTGGGCTTCCGCAGTTTCTGTATCTATAAACTGCTGTATAAAGTAGTTTTCCTCAAAGTTTTGATGTAAGTGACATGAGGGGAGGGACTGCCTCGTCTTTGCCACGCTGCCCCTAAGCAGTGTTCGTACTCAATACACACTGTGCGGTGGCAGCAGGCCCAAGGCTGAGTGGGCTACGGGAGGGCAGAAACTCTATATACCAAAAAAATATCAGTGTGTATCAACTAGTTATGAGGCAGCCACGACAGAAGACAGCCATGGTTTTTTCCCCCCAATTAGGTAAAATTGCCCATTCTTCCTGTATTCCCATTCCTGAATAACAGTCTAGTTAAGAGCCACCAGCTGCAAACTGATGGATACTGACTTCAACACAAAATGGTCTAATGTGTGAGCCTGACCATGTCGGAGGCACAGATCTTGTCTTTATGAGGCCTTTAAAAGCAGGTCTCCTTCTATAAAAAGTAGTTTACAAAAGATAGTGGTCTCAGTGCCTTTTATCTCAGAGGTCAATGGATTAACAGCTCTGGTGGAAACAGGATTAGAATAATTTACAAGTCACTGTTACAATACGTCCACTGAAAATCATCAGGAAAGATATTTTCAGATGAGTTCGTTATTAGACGTACCATTCCAGGTATCTTACCTCCTGGTCATCCGAGGAGTGAGATAAGCATTACAACCCCCATGAACTGGGTGAACAGCAGCACCGGGGTGAGGAATGACCACACATGCCACAGGGCAATGTTGAAGCTGAAAGGACAGAGAGAGCAGTCGCAGCCATGCCCGGACGCACACAGACATATTCATTCTGGACTCTATGTTTAAAAAACTCAATTTGGGAAAGTTCATCCAACCAGCAACTTTGCAAATACATAGTATTTCTCAGATACGTGATTTAGCCAATGATAAAAAAAAAAAAAACTCTGAACATACTTACGGAACTATCACAATTTCTTTAAAAAGTCCCTGGAACAGGATCCCTGAAGGTTTTCTAATAGGTATTGATCTGACTGAGAGAACCTGAGTTTAAAGGGCTACAGTCTCCTTTGATCATGTCACATACTAAACTATCATGGTAAAGAAAAAAAGTATATTCCCTTAAAAACGGAATGAAAAGCTAATCAATCATTTATAAGCTTTTAAATTTTTCATTGAGAAACACATTATTCCTATCACTAAAGTAAAACTAAACACTTTCTAAGTGCAAATAATTTCTAATGACTGAATTTGTAAATTGAGAATAGGGATACTTAGTGTGTTACTCTAACTTCTGCTGGCCTCAACCTCCTCATCTGCCAGCTGCTGTGTGATGTCATTTCCTCTGGGAAATGACACGAGGGGGGACCTTCTTTGTCTTTTTCACCCTGCCCCTAAGCATATAGACTAGAGTCAATTAAATAAGTTTTCAGGTAGTGACTGATTTTAATCTGTAATATTTTGATAAGTATGAATCTCAAATAATTATAATCCTTCTAAAAACTTAACATTTCTAGGGGTGATCTTAGTTACATGTGAAAAATCAAAATAACACATCTGTATGCCCACTTCACTGAATGATTGACAATACCATACCATAGTGTCAAACAGCCTTGGACTTTACAGAAAACATGTATTTATTTATTTATTTATTTATTTATTTTTAAGACAGAATCTCACTTTGTCACCCTTCGTAGAGTGTCAGGGCATCATACCTCAAAGCAACCTTAAACTCCTGGGCTTAAGCGATTCTTTTTTTTTTTTTTGGAGACAGAGTCTCACTTTGTCGCCCTTGGTAGAGTGCTATGGGATCACAGCTCACAGCAACCTCAAACTCTTGGGCTTAAGTGATTGTCTTGCCTTAGCCTCCTGAATAGCGGGACCACAGGCACCTGCTACAACGCCCAGCTATTTTTTTGTTGCAGTTTGGCTGGGGCCAGGTTTGAACCCACCACCCTCGATATATGGGGCCGGTGCCCTACTCACTGAGCCACAGGCAATGCCTGCTTAAGCAATTCTCCTGCCTCAACCTCCCAAGTAGCTGGAACTACAGGTGCCAGCCACAACACCCAGCTTTTTCTAGAGACAGGGTCTCAATCTGGCTCAGGCTGGTCTCCAACCTGTGAGCTCAGGCAATCCACCCACCTTGGTCTCCCAACTGCTGGGATTATAGGCGTGAGCCACCACACCCAGCCCCAAAAACATGCACTTAAACTGAATGCGCACTGGCCAGGCACAGTGGCTCATGCCTGTAATCCTAGCACTCTGGGAGGCCATAGCATGCGGATTTCTTGAGCTTAGTAGTTGGAGACCAGCCTGAGCAAGAACAAGACCCCATTTCTACTAAAAGTAGAAAAACTAGCCAGGCATTATGGCAGGTGCCTGTAGGGAACAGAGAAAGGAGGGAACAGGGAAAGGAGAAATTACCTCAGTTATTAGAGGAAAGAGCATTTTCAGTTGCTCAAGAGGCTGAGGTAGGAGGATCACTTGAGCCCAGGAATCTGAGGGTGCTGTGAGCTAGGCTGACGCCATGGACCTCTAGCTTGGGCAAGAGAATAAGACTCTATCTCAAAAATTAAGTAAATAAACTGAATATGTATAAAAGTATGTGATTTTTTCCAAAGCTAAATTCAATTAATAAATAAAGAAGGCTCGGCGCCTGTGGCTCAAGCGGCTAAGGCGCCAGCCACATACACCTAAGGTGGCGG